CCCCAAAACCCCAAAACCCCAAAACCCCAAAACCCCAAAACCCCTTAGCGATAATTTCTAATTGATATAGGCCAATGGTTTAAAATATTAAACTTTATTTATGAAGCCGATCTATAGAAACTCTTCAGAAGGAAAAATGAACCATGTGAAATATAATCCCAGGAAGGTACCTTGGTCAAGAACGATTTTATAGGGAGAAGTTATCACCCAGCATAAGGAAATGAATCGTTCAAAAGGAGGTACGGATTCTTTAGATAATTTGAGTGTTAAATAACCATCTTTTACTAATCAGGTTCGTTGACCACCACAAATTCTGATCATGCATATAGTGTCAAGTGCGAAATATAGTAAGAAAATCAAGCATAAATAAGGCAATGAAGAGGAGACTAAATTTAAAAACTCCTAGAGTAGAGTCAACAGACCCGATTCATAATTTTATTCAAAAATCAACACGGAAGAGGAAGCAGTCTAGCCAATCTGGAATGAGGAGTTTAGATGAATTCACTGAAGGTGGATACAACAGAATTACTAACTTGGCCTCTTCAGAGAATATAAGAAAGTTCAAGGAAGTTCCGTCACAAAGCTTCGTCGGTATTTTTGATGAAATAATTAATAGCTCTAAATATCAATGACAAAATACCAGATGTCCATATCCCAAGTCAATACAATGTCAAAAGTGATTTGACTGCTAATAATTTGACATCTGTCAGAACATTAAAGGAGTTTAAAAGTAGGATATTTTACTTAGTTTCTAGAATCTTCCCAATTCGGCCAGAATAAGAAGAGTATCAGCGTGCAGAACAAAGAATCTTTGATCAGGAACGAAGGGAAGACGACCATTAATCTCATATCCATCCTAAACAAGAGTAATAATAACTCTTTGTCTATTAACATTAAGTAAATTAAAAGAATAACTCTTAGAGATGAGACGAATGATAATGGGGTATTTCCTCAGAAAGTTAAATTTTATCGTGATTTTGATAATCCAGATCTTACCTTTTTCCCTGAAATAAAGCAGACACTTGAAAGGAATGCAACAAAGATAAAAACCAGAAATCTTGACGCTAAGGTATCTGCAGGTTCAGATAACTTCATTCCGAGAAGAGTTCAGAAGGTTCAGAATCATCAAAGAAGAGAAAAAGATGCCAAGTATTTTGAGGGGAGTCAGACTCCTGGTAGATCATTGCTAAATAAACAATCAACCATCACTTCCAAGGATTTGAGTGTTGATGTCTCTAATACTTTGTGGAACAGAGAGAAACCAAGTGAGGCCATACGTGAGGGCATAAATTTGAAAGACCAAGAGCCCTCACCAAAAGATTTTCTGAAACCGAATAAGCAGGAAAATCGGCCAGGCACTTCTTTTGAGTAATTCATCAAATTTATTCCTGTATAGTTCAAGTAAAAGGAGCACAGATGGGAATATGGCTCAATACTCTTATTCCTCTCAGGCATCTGACTTTAAGTCACAGAAGGAAGAGTCAAAGGAGGAGAGTATAGAGATTAATAAAGAGAAAATGCATGAGATTCATCAAAAGAAAAGCCCAATCAAATTATTCTCCTGCTTTCAAGCTGTCGAGCAAAGATCTGACGATACACTTACTTTTAGATCAGAAAGAGATGATATAGAAGCTGCTGTTTGAGAATTAGTTGCAGAAAGAGCCTTTGCTCAGAAAATGAGAATATTTTCATACTTTAAAACTTACATTGGCTCACCAATCCTGTTGAAACTCTGAATGGTATTTCGCTCTAAGGTACAAATGAAGCTGAAGTCTCAGGTTTTTCATGTATTGAAAAATAACCTGATACAACAGAAACGTCTCAAGCTCAAAGCGATTGGTACTAAAAGAAAAGAAGAACTTGAGAAATTACAGGAAAAGGTTGCCAAATTAGAAGCTCAAAATAAGCTAATTAGTAATTCAAGATTTAAGAAGAGGAAGAAAAAGTCTCCCGATCGGGAGAAGGAAGTTATCAAGGAAAAGCCCAAAATTCCCAAGGAAGCTGTAGTTAATCAACCCACTCTAGTCAGACTTGGTATTAAGAAGATGATATCTACTATATTGAACTCAAATATTCTTACCAAGAGCGAACAGAAAAGGACAAGCTCCCTTGCTCCTCAAAATTTTATGAGACTCTGTAATATTTTTGAAGGGACCAAATCTGAGGATCTTAATAACTTGTTAAAGGCTTCTGAGACTCTCATTGTAGAGCATGACGGTATTTCACATAAGCAGGATAATAATTTCGTAATGCGTTGGGCAATATACGTTATAAAAACAGGCCTAACTAAGCTTAAATATAAATACGAGTTGATACAATCAGAGAACTCTAAGATCAACATTGCGAAACAAACTGAAAGAGAAAGAAGAATGATCGAAAATGGCTACAATATCAGAAGGAAGAAAGTAAAGCAGCCGCTGGAAACATCATTTGAGAATATAAAGTAATTGCCTAATTTGGTCTATTTCTGATAAATTAACCTAATTTAGCGATATATCAAAACTGATTAACAGGTTGGAGGAATTCAGGTATAAGAATCTTAATACGCTCAATTGCTCAATATGACATGTTCTGTTTATTCTTTATTGATGCAAAGTGAAGAAATGATCACTTCCTGAGCATAAGAGGAGTACAGATCCCGGACTATTGATTACCTTGGAGGATATCACTTTGATAATGAATACTAAAGAACATCATAATACCCAGTTTAATTACAAATCTGTGGGACCTGATGACTTAATAGATTTGAAGACCTGTTTTATTTCCCTCCAGTCTTATGAAGAAGATGCTGAAAAACTCAATGAGTACTCTAAGAATCTATATTATTTGCTTTTAAAACTCTGAGTTCAAAATCCTAAATGCGCAATTTCTGAAGAGTTAGAAGAGCCGGATATATCTTTGAACTCACAAATTAATCAATTTATTTACTCAAATACGCTGGTGAAGGTCTTCCCAAGGTATTTCTTTCCTTATCTATTGTAATGGGTCCTTCTGCTCAATACGGAACCCAGAAAACAGTAGATTTACTGCCAACAGCAGGCCTGAATGTTGAAAATGTTTTGCTAAACTGGGTAAACTCAATGATTAAATCCCATTGTAACTCTTACACAAAATATATTGCCTCAAATAGCTATAAAGAATCAAATAGGTCTTCTGTTAAGAACTATAGTAGCCGGGTGCAAACTTATATTGAAAGGTAAACAAGACCCACATATTTCATTGAATAACCATGTTTTACTGATTGATCCAATCTTTAACAGGCATTTTCAAATTTTATTCATGGAGCTTAACTTAGTCCTAACATTTTTAGTGAGAAAAAGAAAGCAGAAGAGAAACGAGCTGAAGAAATTCAGAGGATACAGGACGAGGCTACCACCAAGACTCTTCAGAGAGAAGCCCAGAAGCTTAGATTAGAGACTGACAATAAATTTGATGTTCTTTATCACCATGCTAAATGTACAGACAAGGTCAAGGCATGAGCTAGGTGTAAATATCTTGAGGAAAGGAAGAAGAATGAAAGTGCCACCTCTAAATCTCAGGAAAGAATGAACGAACTAAAGCATCTGCATTTGGGTGTCGATCTCCTAGACCAGAAGAAGAAAGAACTTGCTCTAAATGGATCTACCTTGTTCTTTAAAGATAGTGTGTATAAGCCCCTTGAATATCTTGATGCAATTGTAGAGAGGGACTACAGTACCTTACTACTTGTCCTTTCCTTCTTGTTGCCAGAGTTGTTCATAGATTTACTCCCAAAGAAGGAATGGAGAAGCAAAAGTGTATTCAGGCCAAATTTATTTACCCTAAAATATGAAGATGTCATTGTTATGAGAGAGGATATTGAGTTTCTCCCTAAATATGTTAAGCTCAAGTTCTTGTACCAAGTCATTAAGAAATTTGATCTCAAAGTGTTCCAAAAAGATTACAATATTTCAGGCGAGGATCCAGAAGAGCCTGATATAGAAAGTAGCGATTCTGGAGAAGATCAAGATTATTTCGAAGAGAAGTACGAAGAACTTTCAGAGTTCTTCAAGAACAGCTCTGTGTTCTATTTTACTCTTCTCCACAAGTTATTTACAAGTAAATACAATTGTCTGAATCTGGATGATCAAGTAAGTTTTGCTCTTTATATTTAGGAAATTTCCTTCATGGAAGAGACAAAAGAGGAAGTTTCTGGCACTCCAAAGAAAAGGTTTGATATTTCCAATGTTGATTTATTATTGTTCTGGAATGCTGAAAGGCACTTTAAGCTAATTATGCAATTAGATATTAAAATGTCATTATTAGAAGTTCATGCAAAATCCTGTCTTTTTTGTGTAAAATGGGTATCTAAATATTCAAATTCCTCTTTAATAAGTTTAAAGAGAGTACAGTAAACTCTAAAATATAAAACTCATCTTGCATGTTTTGAACCAAAGTGGGAGAAGATGATGATGCTTTGGGAGTTTCATTTAATTATTTATAACTATGAAGCTAAAAACAGAAGATTATTATAAATATATCGAAATAAAACAGTAAATAGGTGAAACTCCAAAAGCTTCTGAATTGGTCCCGATTCTAATTTAGACGGGGAAAAGAGATTTGTATATTTCCATAAAGTATCAAAATCTGTTGTATTGTTTTAAAATTATATAAATCTCTTCTTACCAAAAACTAGGTGTTTGACTGACTACCAAGGACTTGTCACATCGAATATCACAATGTCCAACTGCATGATGAATCAAAAACAACTCCAAAAGCCTTTAACAACAATAAGGCAAGAGAAGGTACTCTTATTTCTGACATTATAGGCATTCTATCAACTAGAGATGGACCAGTCTCTTATTGACAGGATAAACGAGAGTACATCTTCTCAATGTAATTTTAACAATGAGACTATTGAGAAGATATGCAAGGTGTTCACATACTTGGCCGATAACCCTGAGTCTTACTCACAGTTATACCAGCTGGCTGTTGACCAGAGTACTCAAGTGTAGAAAGCTTATTAGAGCATGGGTCTGATCATAATTGGTCTTTGAGGCAGAAGCATCAGTAGTATGTTTTGCAACATTGGTTACTGAATACTGATGTATCAGCTTAGATATGCTTTCAGACCACGTTTTAGATTTAAACATAAGTTTCCAATTTTAGGGTCCTACTAAGGGGTTTTGGGGTTTTGGGGTTTTGGGGTTTTGGGGTTTTGGGG